TGTAATTGCCATGTTATCTGTAGGTATGTCGTAGACCACAAAAGAAAGATTGAGCCTATTAATTAACAAGTATCAGTTTCAACAAATGTGCACATAGCACTGCATCGCTGACAACTGTTAATTTTTTTTTGTATGAGGGATTGAACTCATGACCTTGTGCTCTCCAGGCAGCTCCTTGTATCACTGAGCTCAATCCCCAGCCGCAACAACTTTAGATACTCAATATGATGATTAACAATGTTTAATTAGCCATTGAGATATTTAGTTATAAATTTTGTAAACCTACATTTTCACAAATGAAATTATTTTCTTTCCTTGCAGTTTAAATAACTTTTGTTTATAAGTACCGGGGATCAAAGTTATAACCTAGCACTTTCCAGGCAGACGTTTCTGCCTGCTGAGCTAAATCCCTGGCCTGTATTAATGAATATTTTTAAATGTATAAACATCACTTTATTCATTCAAATACTATTATGATTTTAGCAAAGGATGTCAATGTAAACAGAAATTGATATACAATCAGAGAGGAACTGAAAGCTCAAAGAGGCAATGCAAAAAACCAAATAAAACAATCACTGCTACAGGCACAGCAGAAGAAAGCCAGACCTGAAGGTGAAGATGCAGTGACCACGTCTACATGCTCCTGAAGAGAAAAACAACAGCTTGAAATGTACTACAGTTACCACCACCTCCTCCAGGAAGTTCAGATAGGCCTCAATTACCATACTCAATGACCAGAACAACTGGCCTATTGTTCCCACAAAATGCCTTGGCTCTTTCCACATACCTTTTCTGCCTAACTTGTTCCCCTGATGAATAATACTAGTTAAGCAGATATAAGCTTTATGGGTTGACTGTAGTCTGAGACCCACACTGTACCAACATTATGACTTTCCTGGAAAAATGACCCCTGACAATAGGTCTGTGGCCAAATCACAGAAGACCACTCCTGAAAATTCAGGGCTATTCTTCTCTTTTTTTTTTCTAAGAAAATGTTTGAATTTCTTTTGGTTTGTGACTTCACTTCTCAATGTTGTGAGCCATTAAAATTGGTGCATCTGACATCAAACAGGGCAGGATTATATTTCTCTTATTTCAATTTAAATATGAAATGTCTGCTAAATGCCATCTTCCAAAGCCTGGATTTCAAGCTGCTTGTTTGCCATGAATTCACATTTCCATGAGCTTTTATAAGTCCTCAGCCTAATAAAATGCAAATACATTGTAGGAAGGAGGACACTGTTGTGCTGTAGCACTATAGGTGCCATTCCTAAGTCTGTGTTTGTCACTGCCTCCTGGATGCCACTACATGGCCTTAATTCTTCTGCAGAATCATTCAATAATTCCCATTTTGCATAGGTCAACTTTCACTCAGCTCTATAATTATTTTTTTTAAAATAGTCTTTCTGTCACCTTGGTTGTTTATATTTTCATTTTAGTTTTTTTATTTAAAGACATAGTCTCACTTAGGAGTTCTGGCCAGCCTTGCACTCACTATGTAGGTTAGCCTGTCTTTGAATACATGGCCATTCTCCTGTTTCAGCCTCTTCATCACTAGGGAAAAGATGTGGACATTATAACACATGGCATTTGTCTTTTTTCTCCTCTCCTTTTACTATTATTCTTTCATTTCAGTGGCACTGTCATTTAATCCTGAGGTTTGCTTGTGTCAGTAAGGTTTCTGCAGCTTGAGTTGAGTTTGTGAACAACAATATAGGAAGCCAAGCAACCCAATTGAGAAATGTGGAACTTCATTAACAGGTCTCAGGAACACTTGTATACAGAACCCCCACCCCCATTTCAGTATCTAAAGATGCTCTGAACTGGAAAGTTAGAGATGTTTTAGAAGATAAAATCACAAAAAGATCCTGTTGGAAATCATTTAGCTAGAATCTTATAATAATTTTTGGATGACAACTGTATTCTGCTTCTTTTGTTAAGCAGGATAATTTTTTTCTTTGGGTACAGCTCATTTTGCTTTTCTCCTGGGACTTATACCCAGAGTGATTTTCCATTTTTCTGGGTGAAATACAGGGCACTAGTTAAATGCAAAGCTCCAGATGGCATCTATTATACCATGCTACAACACAGCTAAGTTACAAGCTGAAAGAGTTGCCCGCCCAGATGAAACACTGTAGCCAGAAAAGGCTGCAGCTAAACTCCTCCCCTACCCTGCCCCCTATGGACTTGATTGTGATTCTGTATCCCCATCCTTAAGGACCTGTGCGCCAATGGGATATCTGTGCATCCCTAATGGCCTTTGGGGCACTGCCCTAAGCTTAAGCTATTTAGATCCCCCACGCCACGTGTCGGAGGGAGTTCGCCGGAGGAGTTCGCCAGAGAGAGTTCGCCAGAGAGAGAGACCACCCGCCCCGGGCGCAATGCTGTGCCCGGGGCCGCCGGCGGCGGGGGGCCCCCTCCCCGCATTCCCGGAATAAAGCCACCGCTGACCACTACTTTTACGGCCGTCCACTCCGCTCCATTCCTCCCGCGGACTTCTCTCTCCTCCCCCTTCTCCCAGACCTAACACAAGCCTCAATATATTCTAGGGTAAAAACACAGAAATCTATAATCCCACACTTAAGACGCTGAGACAGGAGTGTTGCTTTGAGGTTAGGGCAATTCTGCACTCCATAATGGGTTCAAAACTAGCTGATATACATAGAGAAAACTTGCCTCAATAAAACAAAACTAAACCAAACAAAACAGCTGAATGGAGACTGATTTCTTTAAATCTTAATTCCTTGTCTTGGGGATTAATTTTTGGTATATACACATTTTTTGAGACAGCAAATTTAATGCTCTATTGCAACTCACAGCTAATGTAACAGCCAAATAGGAGCACTGATTCTTATGCTGAGTCACTGCAAGAGTCGCTATACATTGTCTCTACAGCAGAGCTCATAGTGAGAGCCTGCAGGACCAGCATCCATAAAGCACAGAGGCGGACAAATATCTCATGAATCACTTTGATGTACTAAAAACGATATCTCTTCAAATCTCATTTAGGCCACTAAGTCCTTTGTTCTTAATATACTTAAGTAGCATTTTGATATTTAAATTTGGTTTCATAGAACACAACATAAATAACATGAAATATGATACATAAATAATAACTCAAATGTTCATGGAAAACTGCTGTATGTAAACAATGTATAAAAAATGAAACCAGGTATAAGTTTCAAATTATAGTTCAGTGTCACCAAGTGATCACTCTCGATTTAGATATAAGAAATATGTCTTGGGAGGCTGATGCAGGAGAACTTCCTTGAGTTTGGGGCTAGCCTAAGTTACAGAGCTGTCTCAACTATAGAAACCCTGACTGAGACACCCCACAGACAATGTGAAACTTGAAAAGTGACTGCATACGACACCTTTGGTTTGCTTTAAAAATTATATCCATACAATATAGAAAAATTCCACAATATTCAACATTTTCTGAGGAACAATGTTGATATCGTACATAGTATACAGAAAACACTTTCAGAGCTGGGTATTTAGCTCAGCGCATGAACACCTACCTAGCAAGCTTGAGATCTTGAGTTCAATCCCTGTTACAAAAAAAAAATTCAAATTTCACCTTCATGATTCTGGGTCATAATTAGAGATAATCAAAATTAGATCTCAAGTGAAGAACAAAAAATTCAGGGGTTGACAAGGATGTGGAATACAGATTCTTACCAGAGCTGGTGTTATTCACCTCAAGGAAGAAATCATAAGCCAACTTTATCTTCGTGCTTACCATAAGCACTTCCTTTTCAGGGAAGACCCTCTCTGTTATATGTCCTGCTATTGGCACACTGCGTCCTGCCAGTCACTTCCACATCCTTTACATGCTCCTCTGATCCACCCTAAGCAGAAAACCCTTCATGACTAAACTATTGAAATCCCTGCACAATTTTAATTTATGGCATCTCCTTTAACCACTTAGTAAACTCCATTGCAGAGCCTTTCCATATTTGAACAATGTATATGATCAACCAAGCTATTAAATCACATCTTAATTTAGAGATGACACCCATATTCCTTTCCATTCAGAAGGATATCACATGTATATGTTCATGCAAATGACTACATTTAGGCATTTTTCAAAGAGAATTTAACAGGCAGCCCTTTCTGGAATTTGTCCTTAGCAAACAAACTTTTCCCTGCCCTTGATGACACATTTATATCTGCTTCATTTTTCTCAAAATTTAAACTTCTATGGCTGTTTTCCCAAACATCGTCTATGAGCACATGTGTCACATAAAGTATGTTCAGAAATTCTTTGCATTGTTCTGTATAATACACAGCAGTTCATATGGTGTTTGGGAAGCCTTCCTCCACTGAGGCACATCACTACACATCTTTAAATTCTCAGAACCTTTGCCTCCACCTTTCATAAGCATGGAAATACGAGAACATAGTATAAATTTAGGCGATCACAAAATACATAAATGCATAAGTTTAAGGAGAGCAGTTGTGGCTATGAGATCCTGCATCACAGACACTTATAAACTTCTGGCTTTCAGATCTGTTACTGACAGGAATGAGAGCAGAGACCTAGCTTATTACAGCTGCACCCAGCTTGAAACCACATTGGAATCAGGGTCTCCTCATGCCCCTTCCTGGGCGCAGACTGTTGGAGGAGCAAGGGCAGCAGGCGATTTCAAAAATGGCATTGTGGCCTGGTGGTATCACAGTAGCAACAGCATTCTAGGGACCCAGAACTGTCCTGGCCCCAGCGAGAGGTAAAAGGGACAGAGGATGACTCACTGCTAGCACTAGAGGATTTCAGGGTCTGAGGCTAAGCACACCAGCTCTAGACAGCACAGCTGCTTCTCACAACATGCTTTTTTTTTTTTTTCCTTTTTATGGGTATAGGGCATTGAACTCATGACTTCCTGCTTTCAAGGCAGGCGCTTATGCCGCTGAGCTAAGCCCCCAGCCCCTTCTCACCACTTCTAACTGGTCTCAACTGGATTCTACCCCATTTCACTGCTCCCATCCCATAACATTACCATTGTGTAGTTTGGAGGTCTCCCAGGTTCTGTCTAAGCAGTCCACAGCGAATAGAAGCAAAAAATACTGGTCTAGCAAACATCTAGGGCTCCCTTTTGTGCCCTGGCCTTGCAATTGACGCCATGACACCGGAAGAGACCGCCTACCTTGGCCCGCCTGATTGGACAGTTCTTACAGCCAGCCTCTACATCACTGATTGGCTCCTGCTCTCCTGCCTGCCTTCCCCACCAAGAATAATTACAGAAGAAAAACCCACCCTGTAACTGTGGATCCCCAATGAAAGATGGTGGAGGCTTCTGGAGCTGGCTGTCTTCTGGAATGTTGACCTCATCTCGTCTGATGGGTATTTGCACTGAAAGACTTTACCTCAGTCTTTGTTTTTTCTCCCAAACCCATTTTATTTGAAAGTTAAAAAGTAAAAAAAAAAGTGGTCCAGGGATTTAGCTTAAGCGCCTGCCAGGCAAGCTAGAGGTCATGCATTCCATCCAAGATCAGGCTACGACAAACTGTGCTGCTATAAACGCGGGTGCACATGTGTCACTGTGGTATGATGATTTTTATTCTTTTGGGTAGATACCCAGAAGGAGAATAGCTCAGTTGAGTGGTACCTGTAGATCTAGTTTGTGTGGAATCTCCACACTGATTTCCACCATGGTTGCTTTACCACCAACAATGGAGAAGGGTTCCTTTTTCTCCCACAACCCCTTAGGCATTCATTATTGCTTGATTTCTTGACAGTAGGCATTTTTTTCTGGGGCAAGGTGACATATCAGTGTTATTTAATTTGCAATTGTTAAATGACGAGTGATGCAGAACATTTTGTCACATACTTATTTGCGGTTTCTATTTCTTCATCTGAGAACTGCGTATTTCACCTCAGGTGCACATTTTTGGATTGGGTCTTTAAATCTGGGAAGACTGAAATTTTTTAGTTTTCTGTGCTCTCAATAATAATACTTTGTCTGAGGAACAGTTGGCAAACATTTTCTCCCATGTTGTGCATTGTCTTTTCACTCTGTTAGTGATTCCTCTTGCTGTTAAAAAGTTTTTCAGTAGGGTGAGATTCTCTCTTAATTCTCTTTGATTTTTGCTGTTCAATCCAAGTTTTCTTCATAAAGTCTTTGCTTACATCAATGTCTTTAAGAGTTTTACTTACTTTATCTTGCAGCAGATTTAATGTTTCTGTTTTAATATAAGATCTTTGATCTATTCTGATCTTAGCTTAATTCACGTTGAAAGATAACATTCAGAATGCATAGAGCCAGGTTTTCCAGCACCATTTATTAAAGAGGCTGCTTTTCTTCCAATGACTGTTTGGCACCTTTGTCAAAGATAAGATGATTTAGTGGTCTGGGGTTGTTTCTCCATCTTCTAATTTGTTCCTTTGATCTTTTGGTCTGGTTTTGTTTGTTTTGTTTTTTTGTCAGTACCACACCTTTTTTAAAAATCACAATACATTTATAGTATAATTTCAAGTCAGGGATTTGATGAACCCTATCTTTCCTTTGTTGCCCAGAATCACCTTTGCTACTCTAGGTCTCTTCTGGTTCCAGATGAATTTTCAGATTTATTTTATGTAATACTTTGAGATATGCTATGGGGTTTTGATTGGGATTGCACTGAATGTGTACAATAGCTTTGGAAGATGGTCATTTCACTATATTGAATTTCCCTACCTAAGACTATGGTATAGCTCTTCATTTTAGATTGTCTTCTTAAATCTCCTTGTTGAGAGTACTGTAGTTTACAGTGTAGAGGTCATTTACATCCTTTGTTAGATTAATTCCTAAGTATTTTGTTGGACGCTATTGTAAAAGTTATTGTTTCCTTGATTTCTCTTTCCATGAGTTTTTTATTCTTGTTTATGAAGTCTATTGATTGTTGAGTGTTGCCTTTGTAACCAGCTGTATTATTGAATTTGTTTCTTAAACTAGAAGTCTTTTGGTGGAATTTTTAGGGTCTTCTCAGTAGAGTATTGTTATAACTTGGGCCCCGGTATAAAATCCAAGGAGGCAAGAGACCAAAAATTTAGGTGGCAAAGGCTTTATTTTCAGGCCTGGTGACCAGTCTCCGGGAGCCAATTTGGAGACTGTCCCCCAGAAGCTGAAGGGAGGACTTTAAAAAGAGGCTGGAGGAAAGGGCGGGGGGAGAGAAACAAAGAAACCTGTAGAGCCATCAAACTTGTTGACCCAAGTCTGGAAACTGTATTGCTGTCCACTTAGCTCTGACAATCTAGGGAGTTCCTGGTGTTTTTTTAAATTACTCCCATCCTGCAGACTGACATTATCTCAGAGTGGCACGTCTGCAGCAATATTTGGAGAAGAAAGTGGAGAGTTAATTATCTCAGGACAGCTTGTCTTCGCTAGTGAGTGCGAAGGGGTCACGAGTTATGAGACGCTGGAACTTAAGTTTTATAAAGACCTGATATCTAACTCATTTGATACATACAGAACAAAAGGAAAGCACTGATTGGGGTTTGGGCCATAGTATTACCCGGTAATTTCTTTAAGCTAAGCAGTTCTTAAAATTGGGGCAGGCTCATTTTACGACAGATCATCACCGGGTCGGGGGGAGGTCACCAGAAACCCAAATTCTTTATGGCCTAGATAGATAGGTAAGGGGAGAGGGAGGCAATAAGGCGCCATACAGAACAGAAAACGGCGGTAATGTGTCAAGGTCAGGGTAAAGGGTTAAACTCACACGCAAATCTCTCTGCACACAAGCAGGTTACTTTAAACAAATGTAAATTAATTGCCATTTTAGTTTTTCTTAGCTCTTCAGCAGAGAATAGAGGCGCCTAGCAGTGATTAACAACCCTTGTTAGCTTGTTTTAGCACAGCTTCTGTAATTTGTAGAGGGCAACAATGGTTAACATATCAATTAGGTGAGATTCTTGCAATTCTTTACAGTGGAGAGTGTTGCTCAACATATAAATTAGGTCACTTAACATATCAGTTAGGGAAAAAGGATAAAAAAAAACATTTAGTAAGCCCCTATACAGGTTTGCTATAATTCACATATAACGAAGCTATTTTCTTAGAGTACAACAAGTATCATGTGTTCTTCAAATAATGATAGTTTAAGATTTTCCTTTCCTATCTTTATTCCTTTTATTTCTTTCTCTTGTCTAATTGCTCCAGCTAGATTCCAGGACTATGTTGAATAAGAGTGCAGACAGTAGACATCCTTGTTTTGTTCCTGATTTTAGAGTGAAAGCTTTCAGTTTTTTTCCACTTAGTATGAGGTTGACTGTTGGTTTGTAATAAAAGGCTTTTATCAGATTGAGATAAAGATCATCTCTCCCAACTTTTGTAGGTTTTTTATTATGAATAGGTGATGGACTTTGGCAAAATCTTTTTCTGCATCTATTGAAATGATTAAATGATTTTTGCTTTTGGATTTGTCAATACGGTGTATTATATGTATGGATTTATGTATGTTGAACCACCCCTGCGTCCCAGGGAATAATTCCACTAAATCATGGTGTAAAATCTTCTTGATGGTATTCTGCAGTCTGTTTGCCAGTATCTTATTGATGATTTTTGCTTCAATGTTCACTGGGAAGAATGGTCTGTAATTCTATTTCTTATTTGGATTGTTCTCTGGTTTTGGTATCAGAGTAATGCTTGCTTCCAGGAATGAATTGAGAAGTACCATTTCCCATACGATTTCATTAAATTTTGAGAAGTGGTAGTGTTAGGTCTTCTCTAAATTTCTTATTTATCCCTGCCATTCCATGGCTACCCCTGCTTTCTTTCAAGGATCAGTGGACTCTTTCCATGATGGGCTGCAAATGTTTTCAGGATTCAGGTTCAATCCTCCAGGAATAAAAAATCCACTGATGTCAGAAAATATTCTGAGAACTGGCCAGTGTGGGACACAACAGAACAGAGAGTCTGACAACTGTGTTAGAGGGAGCAGACTTCATTTTCATGATTTTCACTCATTTCTATTAATTTTCCACCTAGAAACCCAGTATGTGAACACAAAAGGAGCACAGTTACTGTGTAAAGTGAAGACTTTACATTTAAATGATAGTAATGGTCTGCAACAAAGTAAAGATGAAATAAAAGCAAGCATCAATTCTCCAAGACAAGCTTGCTACTCATTCAGATTCATAAAAATGCTGAATTCTGAAAGTGATCATATTGCCAAGCATGGGGGTGACAATTATTACTGAAATGGAACCAAATTCCTAATCCAATTAAACATTTCCTTCTGAGGAGCCAGGGATACCCGAGGACTTCACACTCTAAGTTCCCCTTGCCGTATAGTTCCCGTGTCACTAACTGGCACTCAGCTCTTCAGGATTTTAACATTCCTAGACGTCATATAGTCCCTAAAGCCTAGTGATCCATTTTTAACACCTTTTTGGCTTCAGAAATGTGTAGGATATTACTATGATCATTTCTATATGTATACACTGCAGCCATGTGTGTTGGAACCCATGAACCAAATCTGGTCCCTGGATCCTTCCTCTCAGGTTCTGAAACTGTTTTCTGGCTCCTTGAACTCATAAAAATGTTACCTTTTCCTTTTCACTTTTCTCCAAGATATTTATGCTTTGGAAACAGTCAAAATGAAACTTCCCTCATGGAAACAATGAGATAAAGAATATATTTATATTAAGTTCTGTAAGTCGGGTATTTCATACCTGTATAAAAGTAAAGAAATAAATATCTAATATAATTCAGCTAGCTGTATGTTCCGAATAATCTTCCAAATGCATCAATTCATTCTTCAACTGATTATGTAAATGAGTTTTTAATCTATGAAAACCCTAACAGTTTTTTAGCATTTCCCTGTTTCAGTTTGACTCCAGTAATTCTTTGGAGATCAAAACCACGTAATTTCCTGTACAATCCATTCTCTGCCAAGCAGGCATAACTGGCATCTGGTGAGGAATCCATGGTTAAAACAAATGAACTGCTAGAAACACCGAGACTCATGTTACATAGTACTTAGCAAGTTGATGGAGGCCTCCTTTATTATCTACCAATTTCACTTGTAAGTACTGACTTAGAAAAGTTATGCAGAATACTCACAATGATGTAAAGTGGTGTATAATCATGGTTTCTGAGAAATCACTATAATACCGCTCAATATGTTAATAAGGTAGAATATGTTGATAAGT